AGCTGGCCTACATCTGCCTGTGTGAAGAGGCTCCAGTCGCATCCTTGGGTACGCATGGAGCCGGGGGCCTGGCGCCCACCCACCCACCTGCCCACCGTCCCCAGCAAGCCCCTTCTCTCTCTCCAGGCTCCCTGCCAGCCCTGGCACCCTCCAAGGCGATGACACAGAGCCAGTGGTGCTCGAGGACATGGGCCAGGGTGCGTGACTCAGCCTCTCGGGGCTCTGAGCAGGCTGCTTCCAGCCCCACGTCAATGCCACCAGGCCACTGGGGAGAGCCCCTCCCCCGTGGGCAGAGGAAGCAGGTGTCCTCCAGCCCCACTGCTGGCAAGGACACAGCTGGGACAGACCAGGCTCCCCACCTCCGCCCCACCCTCCAGGCAGCTCACTCCCAGCCCCGGCATCTACTTGGGGCTCCTAGAGGAAAGGAGACACCCAGAAAATGCCAGCCGGCCCCATCCGACACATGCATGAGGGGGTGATCAGAATATACAGTGAATGTCAGCATTCTAAGAGCAATGACTGTTAAAGACACACTGCCATGAACCCCCTCAAGGTGCTGCCCCATTTCCATCAGCTTCAGCCGTCGCTCTCGACAGTCTCTGAAGCAGCTGCCCAGGTCCTCTCTCCTGAGGGCTTTATGAGGTGTGATCAGAAGTGCAGTGACTGCTGCTTCTGAGTGCCACCCCACAGAGGCGGGCTCAAGCGTGGCGCTGTGTCCTCACCCACCTTCTCCCCTGGACCTGGCACCGTGTGACTTCCCCAGAGTCAAAATGACCGGGAAAGGTCAACATCTGAACGGACTGAGGACACCGAGGGGGCCACAGCACCATAACTGAAGACCCTCATAGGAAGAGGCCTCCAGAACTGCTATAGATGGCGGCAAGCACACAGGGTGAGTGCGCTCAAGGTGAGCGGAGGCCCAGCAAGCACTCTTCGGGGTGCTTGTTTCCGGTTTTGTGTCTGACACACGCTTTTGCTACATAATCCAGGCTGACCTTGAATTCAAAGTGATTCTCCTGCCTCAGCCTGCCTCATGCTGGTATTACAGGTGTGCACCACCCTGCCGGGGATCTTTCTTTTTTTTTTTTTTTTTTTTGTAATTAATAAATCCAGAATTCCTGCACACTTTGTGGATGCTTCTGGAGGTGAAAAGCATTTTCAAAGGTGCACGCCGCCTGCTAGCATTTGGAGCTGCTGTCACACAGCCTCTGACTCTGGCGCAGGACAAACCGCCTTCCGGCATCCAGTGTCGCCCCCTCCAGCCCCGCCGGATGCTCGGCCAGGTCCCGGCTCAGAGAGTTTCCGGACCTGGGTCAGCCGGCTCGCTGTCTTCTGGCGGCCCCACCCTTCCCGGCAGCCGGCGAGAGCCGCCAGAGCCGGGGGCGGGGCCCGGCCACGCTGGGTCGCGAGGTCCTCGGGCGGGGTGAGGACTCGCGCTCCGCAAACCCAGCCGGGACCCGGTTCGGAAGCGCCGGCGCGCCCCCTGGTGGGCGCCCGGGGAGCTGCCACAGCGGCACCCTGCCGCCCTCGCTCTTACCCAGCCGTTCCAGAGACAGCGTGGGGACCGGCAACTTCAGCACCCACTTTGCAGGCGAGAGCGTTGAGTCTGTCTCTGGCCATTAGGCTACGACAGAGTGAGACCGGAAGCTAGAAACCGTGTCTTTTCCTTTTGTTTGCTTTTTGTTTCTTTAGCACCCCACACTCAGATCTGTGGGCAGACAGGGAAAAGGACCGCTCCTGCCCACTGCCCACTCATCCTGCTGGCAGACACCGCGCCATCTGGGGGACAGACTTCTCCTCTTGTACCCCCGCCCTTCTGGAACCCGAGAGCCCTCAGCAGCCTGATTCAAGGCTTCCTGAGCCCTCTCCGATCACAGCTGAGGGCCAGCCCCCCTGCCTCCATCCCCCAGGGGAGCCAGGTGCCCACACTGTGGGTGCAGAGGGTCCCTCATAAGCCACCCTCCCCGCACATCTCTGTCACAGCAAACCCCACGGAAGCCAGCAGGCCCCAGCCGTCACCCCTGCCCTGGCAAAGACATTGGAGAGAAGCCATCTGGGAGGGCGGCTCTCCCAGGAGGGGGAGGTGGCCCCTGCCCTCCTCGTCCTGAAAACAAAGTCCTTCCTTTGAGCACTCAGGACACAGGAGCTGAACGCAGCCACACACAGCCCCAGGGGACCTGGGGACCTGGTCGGGGGACTGGCTTGGAAGCCTTCCCAGGCCCCAGAGGAGGAGGAAGGCCCGCCGCCTGCCACCCACAGCTGGGATCCTGTCATGGGACAGAGCTGGCCTCACTCAAGGACAGGACAGGCAGCCGGCTCACTGTTTTCTGGGAAGGCCGCCAGTCTTTGTGCCCTCAGGCTTCCGGGCATAGAGGAGGGCAGCCGGCTGAGCACCAGCACCGCCCTCCATCCCTGCGGCCAGGCTGGGTGGGCGGCTGCAGGAGGACCACAGCCACTGCTCCTGTCTTTGCCCACTGCCTGGTAGGAAGGAAGTCGTGACCCAGGGCCCAGCGCCGGGACAGCTGGACACAAGACACAGGACTGCTGGTCTCGTATCCCGTCGCCTGGGCATGCCGGGCCTAAAACACTGGGCTCCAGTTCCTGGGTCATGTTGTCCCTGCCTGTGAGCGTGCAACGTCACCGCTCACACACAGCCTCAGGCTCCCCTTTCTCTGCTCGTCCCCAGTCAGCATGTAAGATGAGTGTGACACATGGTGCTACTTCTGCTGCAAGGCTCAGGAGGAAGTGGAGATGGGGTGTGGGGAGCCGCTGGCCACCGGTGGGGAGGTCACAGCCCAGAGGCCCCATGGCTGCCAAGACAGCACGTGGGTGACGCCAGGATGCAGCCCTGTGGTGTAACGGGGCGCCTGGAGCACATCACTGGGTGGGAGGACAGACTGCTTCATGGAGGACATCAGGGACGCCCTGTCCCACACTGTCCAGGCCGAGAAAGTAAACAGAGTTTGGGCAGGACATGACAGGGTCACAGCCAGGGTGGGCAGCAGCTGTTGAGGGGACTCAGCCACGCCATGAGAGGACCCTGAAGGGCACGGTGAGGGACATTTCCAGAAGGCATCTTGTCAGGGGAAGTTGGCCAGGCCGTAATGGCAACGTTCCCACATCACCTTCTGTTACCCCTAAAAGCACACGCTCTCGCTCCCCCCTCGCCATGGAATTGGAGCGGGTGGAGGTGCCACACACTTACTGCCATGGAGCATGTGGCCCCCCAAAGTGCTAGGATAACAAGCGTGCGACAGAAGGAACCCAGCCTGCAGCGTGGAGGCCCCACAGGGCAGGGCTGGGTGGTCCCTGGTCGCCACACACGAGCTCGGTGCGTGCTGTTCACCCGCCAAAATCCACACGGCAGGCACCGTGTCAGGAGGGGGAGGAAGGTGTGGGGGTGACCACCAGGGGCTCTGGGGGCTGGGACCCCACGGCTTCTGTGGAGCCTCCCATCCATCCAGCCGGAACCTGGCCAGCAGACAGCCAGCTGCAGACCAGCTGTTGGTGTGAGGAAAACCAGCGACCGAGAGTCGTGACTGTAGAAAGGCAGGCTTCATCTTAAGAGGGGCCCGGCCTGGACCCCCAGGAAAGCCCAGCTCCGCGCAGGAGGGTGCTGGATTCCTTCAGGAAAATGAGAAGCGACAGCCCAGCCCAGGGTTTCTCTTGCTTTCATCCATCCCGCCACAGACAGGCGTGGGAATGGGCAGCTGTGCCGGGCTGCGGGTGATCGGACGTCACCTGCGAGGGAAGCAGAGAACAGAAAGGGACGGAGGGACAGAGAGGAAGCGTCCCGCCTGGGCCTGAGTGCCTGCACACTGCACCCTGCTGCATGCCAAGTGCCGCCCCCCAGGGAAATACCCTGCCCTGCGGCTCGGGACCCACTGCCCACGCCTTAATGTCCCTGCTCTGCTGATGACGCCAATGTGGGATGCAGTGAGCTTGCTCTGGGGACAGGGAGGGACAGGCTGTGCGCGTTGTCCCTGCACCTGGCCCCTCTTCCTGTCCTCTCAGCTCACTCCTGGCATCCCCCTGCCCTGGTTCCCAGACCTTTCATGTGACTCCCTCACCCACCCTCCGTCTGTCTCTTGGTCTCCTTCCCATTGTGAAAGGCCCTTCCATCACCCTGCCCTGTTATCCACCTTTTATTTTGCTCTTCATTTATAACTTAGGTTTCTCATCTAAGAGAAGCCATTTGCTATTGAAGCTTGTGAGTCTGATTCATTTCACTTAACATTAGGGTCTCCGGGGCGTCCATTTTTCAGCTTCTCTGCCTCGATAGTGGAGAGTCCTCCACTGCGTGGAAACACCACCCTGGCTTCCTTATTCATCCATCTGCTGAGGGGCATACAGGCGGCTGCCGAGGCGAGGCGTAGCTGCTGAGAGTTGCGCAGGTGTGAACACAGGTGTGTGGGTCACGGCACACGACGTCTTTAACTGTTTCAGGGCGACGCTTAGAAGGTGGAGCGGGATTTCTCGGTTGGGTTTTCTAGGGACTCTCCACCCTGGTTTCCATCGTGGTGGTACCAGTTCACCGTCTGCTTCCTGATGTTTTCTTTTTTATGCTGCATTTGGCTTCTCCCCAGGAATTTGAGAACCAAGAAGACAAGACTCCAGTGGGCAGCAACCAGGGCGACTGGTGCCCGACAGTGGGGAGGGGGGACACACAGGCCTCTCTGGGGGGGAAGACTCAAGGGCCCCTTCTGCCCAAGGCCATACCTGGGTCCTTTAGGCTCCCAGATCCTCCCCGGAAAAGGAAGGCACACAGGGTTTCCTGAATGGGCCCTGCTGCTCACCCCATCCCCCGCCTCCTGTAACTCTCCCCCCCCTCCCCCATCAGCCTCCACTCAGGGCAAACGGCTTTTCACCTCTGAAAACCAAGAGTGACCCTAACCCAGACAGGCCAGATGTCTCCTGCAAGCAGGGGCTGTGTAAAGACAGCAGAAGCTCTCAATGGTTTAACCAAACTTGATCCCTGAATTTCACTGGTTTATGATGGACAATTAGCCAAGTGCTGGGCCACTGTCCTGGTGATGGGGCACAGTGTCCTGCCTTGAGGGGCTCCTGGGCCAGGGAAAGGAAAGGTCATTGTTACTCAACAGACATTTTCTTAAGCGACGAAGTGCTCCCACGCTGAAGGGGTCGTGGCACAGACAGGTAAACAACTGACAATTTCGATCCTATTTTGCAAAGGGAGAGGGCAGCGGGAGTGAGAGGAGGTGCGGGGTGCGGGTGCCAGCGGTTTGACTGGGAGCCTCGGCTGCAGGGGAGAGGAGGGTGCCAGGATGTGGGGGGTGGGCAGGGGCACAGGCTCACCCTCCTCCCCTCAGCCCACTGAGCTCCTCATGCTTTACCTGAATCCCTGCTTCTCAACAACTAAATCTAGGGAGCGGTGAGACCTCGCCAGAAATGTCCCCTGGATGGAGCTCAGGGAGCCGAGGACGGGGACCTCAGGCACGGGGAGGCACAGCTGACTGCCAGAGTTCTGAGATTCCCCTTGGGGAAACTATAGCCGCTGCTCTAATCAGCTGATCATAGATCACACCTTTGGCCCCTTGGTTTGTGAGTGGACCTGGCCTCACCTGACAGGAAGTAGGACCATCAGGGAGCCAGTACATGCTCCCCTCTCAGTCAGTGCCCTCCCCACTCGGGGCCTCAGTTCCCCTATTTGTACTGTATAGACATCAGTACTGGAAGGTTCCAGAAAGTTCCAGAAAGTCTCTGACCTTTCCTCTCCAGGACACAGGTACTCCACCTGTTCCCTGCAGCTGAGCCTTTCCGGCAGCCACTTGTCCCCTTGCACTGCAGGGAAGGCAGTGAGGTCAGTCCCACTGCCAGCCACTTGCCATCCAAGCTGCCACGGCCCAGGCCAGGTTTGGCAGCTGCCAGAGGCAGGCAGTGTGGGCCTCCAGACAGAGCTTGGGCCCGTTCCACCCCCTCCTCCTTCCAGCCCCGGCCTCGAATGGCTTCCAGGACCTCCTGACCTGCTGCACCCTCAGGAAGGTGCCAGGGCAGAGTTTCGCAGTAATCCAGGTAACAACGTGTGGCCTGGATAGGCCGCTGCGGAGAGGACTGGGGGACCGGAGAGGCAGGACAGCAGGGGATCTTGGCTGGAGGGCAGCTGAGACAGACAGGAAACAGGGATGGAAAGAAGACAAACCTGGTCAGAGAAATAAGAGCTGGAGCCAGGAAAAATGGGCCAGCTCTGCAGGAGCACAAGGACCACCCCCCATGCCCCCACCTCCACCATCACCCCCAGGCTCCTCCCTGTCCCCATCCCAGCCCTGATGCTTTCATGGGACTGTCTGTGTGGAGCTCAGAGCCCAGCAGGGGCTCATGCCCCTCCCTTCTCTTCCATCCCTCGGAGCAGGACAAGGGCCCAGCCAGCCCCCCAGCACGCTGACCTCAGCACCGACGAGGACAGGAAGACCCGGGGCCCTGCACCCACCGGGAGACCCGGGCCTCCAAGGCGCAGGGCAGTGGCCCCGAGGAGGAGGAGGAGGCCTTGGCCGGGCCGGCCGTGGGCTTGGCGGCAGCTCCTCCCGGCTCCGCCAACTCCCTTGGAAGGAACCTCAGCTGCTCACTCCTTCCCTCCAGCTGGCTGACGGCATCCACGCTGCTGGCTCCAGTCCTCTTTTTCATTTTTAATTCCTTCTAACCTTCTCTCTCCAGTTTTTTCCTACTTCTAAAAAAAATAAATAAAGATTTTGCAAGCGGGGGTGCAGGCCTCCTAATTTCTCACCATTTACTTAGGAAAATAGGGCGTGCCCAGCACACTGTGAAGAGCCGCATCTACACAGCGCTTCACAGGGTGGGAAAGGCTTCCGCAGACCCCTACTAGGCCTCTGGCTGCAGGGAAGGCTGGTGGCACCACACAGACGGTCGGGTCAGCACCCAGGTGCCTGGCTTCTATCAAAAGCAGCCCAGGAGCTGGTTTCTTGGGACTCTTCAAGCCCATCTTCTTGCACCCCAACTCCCCCTTGGCCCTGGGTGGCTCCCAGAAGCCTCACGGGGCACGTGGAGACACTGCAGAGGAATTTCTTGTGCCTCTGTGGTGCCCACAGAAGTAAAAACGGACCCCTCTATCCCTCAAGAGGGAGAGCAGACCCAGGACTCGCGCTCTGCAAATGCCTCCCTGAAGACACGGCAGCGACCTTGCGGGCGAAAGAGGAAGCTGCTGTCCAGGCAACACGAAGGGGAAACGGAGGGAGGATTCAAACTCAGCTCTGCCTGCCCCCAGAGCCCATGCTGCCTCCGCTGTGGATAAATGGCCTCGGAGGGTGGCTGAGACCATGGCCTGAGTTCCAAGACCCTTTTGAGGCTCAGCCATGGCTGGAGTCCAACAGTCTGGACAAGCAGGGTGTACAGATCCTGTTCAAGCCTAGAAGCCTCTCAGGGGTCCCTGTCACGTGGCTCACATGGAGGGAGTGCCAGGGAGCACTTACCCTGTCCCTGGTCCCTGGTCTTGTCTTCAGGGAGCTCTGCCAGGAAGTGAGTGGACGTCAGCAGATCCCCAGTGAGGTCTGTCTGGCAGCTCACAGAGCCCCTGCATGCCAGGCACCATGTGAGGGCCAGGAGAGAAAGAGCTGTCATCTCCAGGGCTCCACATTGGTTACGGTGGCCTAGGGAGAAGGTCAGGGCCAAGAGAAGAGGGACAGGCGCCACCAGAGCCTATGGAGGAGCATCTGATTCTCAGGGGACCCCAGGGAAGTCCCCGAGGAGATGACCCTGAGAAGGGAACCAGACTGTTGTAGGAGTTTGACAAATGGAATCCACAAGAAAGGGCAGCGCTCTAAGCAAAGACAATAGTCAATCGGGGCTTCGGATGTTTTGCAACGGGGAAACTGAGGCCCAGAGACTTCGCCTGACTTGCCAGGACCACAGGCCGGGACTCACAGATCCTTTTGATCACATACTCATGGTAATCTCATCTGGACATCCGGGTCTTTGGGGGAGGGGCCAGTCTTTGCCCCGCCCCGTCCCAGGTCTTGGGGTCCAGCCCACCCCTCTGTGTCTTCCCTTGTCGCCCCAGCAGCTTTCCCCCTGCTCTGGTGGCTCCTGGGATCACGGGTCAGGGTTAAGTTTTGTGGCCTGGCCCTCCTGTGCTATGGAAGTTGGTAAGGAGTTGAGATAACAGCTTTAGTGCCAGGACCCAAAGTGCCAGCGCCCGGGGACCCTCACCATCCGTCACTCAGGGTACAGGCAGCTGGGGAAATGCCCGGGGGAGAAGCAGGGCACCCTTGTCCCCAAAGTAAAGGGACACTTGGTGTGAAGGGAAACAGACTTCTGCAGAGGCATCAGCCCACGCCTGTAGCACCCCCAAGTCCCAACCCACCCCTGTTCCCCTCACCCCTAGACTGGCTGCTGCAGCCCACCTGGGTTTCACATCGCTCAGGGCTCACCTTGCTTTTTCTCTGCTTCCTGGGGAAGGGACTGAGGAGGTCCCACTCAGGGGGGACCCAAGAGATGCTGACAGATCCCATCTGTGGCACGTACCTCACACCCCAGAGACCCTCAGCCTCTCAGACCACCTCACCCTACAGCCAGGGCTGCTGAGGTCCTGGAGGCAACCGGGGACCTGTCATCAACAGAGAAGAGGGAGGAACATGTCAGACAGCTCTGGAGCAGGGAGCAGTGAATGGGGATCCCTAGAAGTGGCAGGCAGCACCCCTTGGGCCAGAGCTGTGGCCTCCCCTGTGTGGGGGGTTAAGGTCAGAGAATCACAGGGAGCTTTGAACAATCCTCAGAATTTTCCAAAAACCAGGCCAATCGAATATTTTTTTTGTTTTGATTTGGTTTAGTTTGGATGTTTTGTTTTGTTTTTAACACAGGATCTCACTATGTTGCACAGGCTGGCCTCAAGCTTTCAGTCATCCTCCTGCCTCAGCCTCAGAGTCCTGGGCTTTCAGGCATGTGCTACTAACCAAGCAGTTCTTAAAAGCTCTGAAGAGGCATGGTTTTCACTTTTACAGATGCCAGCATTCTCTGGACAAGTCATAAAAATGTAGATTCCCAGTGTCTTCTTAGACTCTGGAGGACCAGGTAACGCAGCCGCCTGCAAGTGACAAGCCCGGCCTCGACTCCAAGGTGGACCTGGTCTGGATGCTGCATGCAGAGATCCCCGCCCCCCCACCCCCCCCCAACACACACACACACACACACACCACTGCAGCGTAGGGACATTAGGTTGTCCTAAGCAGCAATGTGTTGAGTCCCTGAGCCTCAAGACACCATGTGGCCTCCAGATGAGGACAGTAACAGGCGCATCACCAGTGGCCTCTGTGAGCAGCTGGGTTTCAAGTGGGCACCAGACCCAGCAAGCAGGGGCAGAACCAAAGGTTCAGAGAGCTGAGGGCTCTGGAATTCCCAGGCACGCCTTGGGCCCCGGGGCTCCTCAGGGAACAAGGAAGATGAGAAAAGAGGTAGCTGTGCTCATCAGGGAGGGATTGCATGAACACTGGGTTCCTTTCTCTCCAGGCATTTTGCTTAATTTCTGCAGCAGCCAAGACACAAGCCCCGGGCAGAGGAGTGGATGAGGCTGTCACCGTCTCCAGCAGCTCCTCTGTGGACCACTCTGCCCTCCAGCCTGTGTCACTACAGATTCCTGCTATGTCCACACTGCCAGGAACACAGAGCTGAACTCCCCCAGCAGGCAGAGGTTTGCCAGGTCCAATTCTCCTTACTAATTTGAGGGGGATGGGAGAGAGAGGTTTGGTGTGGTAGAAAGAACACTACACGAAAAGTTAAAATGTGTGAGTTAATATTAAGAACTGACTTGAAACTTTCAGGAAGTGACTTGTCCTTTGTGAGACCAGGGAAGGGACTTTCCAGACAGGGCCCCAGAGCACCTAGCTATGCCATTGGAGAGTGTATCAGTTAGCTCCTGCTGTGTAACAATTAACCATTTGTTATCTCATAGCTTCTTTGGGTCAGGAATCTGGCAGGGTTTAGCCCAGTTGCTCTGGTACAAGATGACCTCCCTGGCTACCCAAGACTAAGCTAGGGGAAGAAGCACCTTCAGGATCATGCATGTGGCTGTCTGAAGGCTGGCAAGCAGTCCCAAGGGGTTGCTGGTGGCTTTGGTTTCTTAGGGCAAACTTCAGTTTCAAGGGAATCTCCACCACTGCCCCCCAACATGGCAGCTGACTTTCCCAGAGCAAGCAATTTCAGAAAGAGTGGGAAGAGGGAGGTAGAGAGAGAGTGGGGGGGGGGGTACTTGAGACACAGGCTACTGACTCCCTGAAACCCAGCGCTGGAGGTGACACCAGCCATTTCTACCATACTCCAGTCTCAAAGCCAGTCACAAAGCCTGTCCACACCCAGGGACAGGGAAATCAAGAGGGCAACTCAGTTCTCTCTGCCAAAAGCTGTGTGGACGCAGCTGAGAATCTACCCAGGAGGTTAGAAAGTCACTAGAGGTCATCATCTGTGATCATGGCTCTCCTGTGCCTGGGAACATGGGGAGCAGTGGCCATAAAAGGGTCAGGGGTGGGATTTCTCCGGGTAGGCCGCGTTCCCACCGCGGCAGAGGGGCTGGAGAGTGCGTGCAGTAGGGGAAGTCAAGTCAGGAGGCTGAGAGCCCTAGGGGGAGCTGAGAGCAGGGTCTATGCATCTCTGTGCAGGCTCCTGCCCGGGCAGACGTGATGCCCAGCCACCTCCAGGGCTCTGGGCCTGGTGGCCCAAGGTGGAACCTTCCCCCAAGGGGACCAGATCCTAGGGACCCTCCTCAAAGGAAGGGAGAGAACAGATGCCAGGGCGTTGGGGAGGAACCAGAAGGAACAGAAACGAAAGGGGCCGGAAGGTCACTCAGGGTCCAGCAGACTTCTGCTGTCTCACTTTCTTGTCTGCAAACTGGGCACAGTAAGGGAGTTTGTATGGTGGAGCTGTGAAAATCCAATGAGGTAATCTACTGAAGACTCCTAAAGGGGCTAGCGCATAATTAGTGGGCATAAACAATATTAGGGTCACAAAAGACATTAGCATGCCTCTGGTTCAACTGCACTGCCAGCCTGGAAATCCCCTCCAGTGGACGGCCACAGAGGACAGAAGGTCCTTAGACACTGCTTAATTACTTCGAGGTCCTGGGAGCTCACTACCCGCCCTGGAGCTCAGCGTGACAGGGGCAGCCCATCAGTGCACAGCTCTCTGTTCCCTTTGTGCTCCGACAGCACACGACAGTGCTGACTTCAGGCAGCCCCTGACATGAGAAAGGAGAAACAGAAATGTCCTCTCGGAAAGGATTTTGCCCCAGATGGGACACTGTAGCCGTGGGGTGGGAGGCTGGGAGGCAGAACCGAGGGGCTCTATCTTGAGGTCGTCTTTCCCGCCCCTGAGCAATTTACCTTTGGCAGGAAATGAATCCCACTGGGCTACCTGTGCATCAGTAATGCCCCTCAGGCTCCACCCCAGGCCTAAGCCCCCACGTATGCCCCCACACCATGCGTCCCTCGGAGAGAAAGCCAGACCCCGGAGGTTACGGAGTCTCTCTCCACATTCTTAAAATAAAGGCCACTTTTATTTCCCACTTCTTATCTTTTTAGCCGGGCCAAAAGTTCTATCCCTCTCCTGTTGCTCTCAGAGGCAAAGTCTCCTCGGCAACCCCAAACATTTCACTTCTGCCACTTGCATCTTACTTCATTTTATAGCTAAATTATAGCAGAAGCGTTTGGTCCAAAAAACCGTGGCTTCATAAGCTAGGTGGGAAGGCTCTGGCTCCCAAGACTCAGCAGTCCAGAGTGGGGTGAGGGCATGGCGTGCGGGTCAGGGGCTGGGGAGTGGGCTGCATGTGCATTTATACCTGGAGGAGGCAGGAGTTGGCCCAGGTGTGCGGGTGAGTGTGCACGTGTGCGAACTGCGGTGGTGTGTTCCTGTGTGAGGCTGTGGGTGTGTGGGTGTTCTGAGGGTTTCTTTACCTAAGCCTCTAGAGACCTGGTCCCCCCACCCCAACACAGAGCATAAACTCAAGAAATGAAAACCAGCAGCAGCACCTCCAGGGCCCAAGGACAACCTCCCTCCGCTGGAGTCCCACCAGCCGCCCAGCCCAGGAAGAAGGGGATAGCCCCTCCTCCACCCCAAACTTCCAGCCTGAGTCTTTGAATCAGCTTTAGGAGCCAACATCTGCCGCTCTCCCCTCTGCCCGTCCTGAATAAAGGTGACGATCAGAACCCGGAGGAATCTTTGTGTTTTCATTAGGTATTTTAGCAAACGCCGTGAGCACATTCAGATTCGATTTCCCTGTTTTGTACACACACGCATAAGCCCGCACTAAGAGGATTACTTCTCCCGGGTGCCGGCTCCCTCCGAAAGACCCTGCTCAAAGGGGACCCGTGTTCGACAGCGTTTTCTCTAATTCCTTGGCTTTGCTTCCCGAGTCAGGGTGCAGACATCCAACCTGCCCGGAATGCACCGCCTAGCAGAGCTGGGAGGAGCGGGGCGTTAGTGCTCGGTTCAGCAGCAGCCCGAAGGGACAGGGAGAGGCCACCCCCTGCCCTGCGGAAAAATGTAGCCTTTTCGCCTCTGCGCCCCTGAATGGCTTTTCCAGGGTTTTCAGGAGGCCCTGGGCCCACTGGTGCAGAAAGCCCGCAGATGTTGACGTGTTTTGTTGTTTTTTTTCATCCCTGGGTTAAGATGTCTTCCATAAGCTTTCATTCCTCATTTGTTACTTCTTTATTATCCGGGGGCCTTCCCGCCTCCTCCTCCTCTCGCCCCCTCTGAAGAGAGCAGCAGTAGCTAAGCTGTCATTATCCTGGCCCCTTTCTCTGGCCTCCCAAGGCAGCCCGAGCCTCGGGCCCATTGTGGGGAGCAGCAGGTAGCTGAGGCGGGCCGGGTCATGCAGCAGAGCCTTTTGTGTGGCTGTCCCCTCCTTCCCACGGCTGGGCTCTGAGCGTGTAAAAGGTCAGGGACAGCCAAGCCTCCGTACCTGAGCTTTTGTTCCGCCAGAGGCCACTGATTGCAGAAGCCATCCCCTCCCCACCTGGCCACAGCTGTGCCCTTCCCCCACCCCTGGGGGGCAAGGGGACTTGATTGGAGGCCAACACGGAGACGCAGGGGACATGGGACATGAGTCCCTGAGGCTGGCTGAGGTGAATTCAGTGCAACTCCCGAGACTCCAGATGTTGAGGAAAAGTGTTTTGCAAAAAATATCCGAGGTCTCGATGGTTTTTGAATCTTTTGCCCCCTATCACAGCCTGTGTCACCTGTCCAAAGGTGATGACACCCCTCACCTGGCCACGGCACATATTTAGTGGTTATTCCATGGATTCGGTGAGAGAAGCCGCTGTGCAAACCACCAGATCTGTTTTCCCCACTACGGGCTGCGTAGAACTCAACTTGGAGAAAAGCGTGAAGCAGATTCAATTTTCTGAAAATTGTAGAGTGAAAATACATGCAGATTTGGGGCTGGGGATTTAGCTCAGCGGCATAAAGCACCTGCCTTGCAAGCAGGCAGTCCTGAGTTCGATCCCTGGTACCGATAAAAACGAAAAAGACTAAATAAATAAAATACAATAAAAATACGTGCAGATTTAAAGACCTTGCTATTTCCAGCTCTGTCCAGGCGTGATGACCTATTTCTGAGGG